AGTTGGATCTCAAGTTGGTGGAGTTGGTGCACCACTGTAATACCAGTGTACTTACATGGTAACTCCTCAGGAACGGTCCACTTAATATAAAGTGTAACATTCTGGGCACAAACCACAATTTATATGTAAAGCCTAACTTACTGGCTGCTGCTGTGTAACATCAGAGTAATTACATGGTAAATCCATAGGAATTGTTTACTTAATATAAAGTGTAATACTTTATTTACCAAAAAGTGCTGTTAGTCATGTTACACATTTGTACTTTTATTACCAAAAAGTGTTGTTACCAATGTCCTGTTACACATTTGTATTTACACATACCATTCAGTGGGTTGTTACATATGTGTAGTTACACAAACATTACAGCTGTAGATACTATGTACCAATGTGTACGTACACTGTGGTTACATACTATGTACACATCTAGTTACTATGTAAGTACACAAGTATTAGGGACACAATATAAAGTGGGACCGATTAGTTTGATAGATAATATCAGAAATATGGTGGGAGTTAAGTTATATTTTATCACTTTAAACAACAGAGAGTGATAGTAAGATAGCGATTCAACAGAAATTTATCATAAAAGAAGTTGATCATTCTCCAGGCCAGTGTGGCAACGACTACTGGAATGTGACTCTGCACCCTCTGAGACTCTGCTTATTAATTAAGATCTGACGGATGAACTTGCACCTTGATTAGACTTTTGTCATGCCATGTCTAATGTGTGAACAGGACATTTTAAGTCACACACTAAGTAAATGGGGTTGTCAATCCCAAACACTGATAGTGTGAATGTACCCCAAATACTTTCCTCATAAGATTTGCTACCATATGGTTCTCTTACATTGCTACATTCAGTTCAACAGCATTGCATTTATCCATTTTGTGTTGACATTATCACATTCTGTGTATATGAATTATCTTGGTATCTTCGTTTTGATTATTTGTTTTTTAATCCATTAGCATTGTGTGACAGTCAGTCATCAGTGTGATTTCCCCAATAATTAATGTCTTGTGATGTTGTTAGCAGGATGTTTAGGAAGTGTGCAGTCTCTTTTCTTTCTTGTCCTCCTCCAATTCCATACCAGATGGCTTTATTTGTGACTTTATTTTTCCTGTTGAACACAAAGATTTTAAGAAGAAGAATAATATCCCATACCATGCAAGTGAATGGTAATTATAACTGTTGTTTACTTGAAAGTAAATGGTGACTGTTTTCTTCTAAAAATCTTTGTTTGCATTCTGCAGAAGACACATTTGGGATGGCAAATCCCAAATGTTTGAATGAACTATGAACTATTCCTTTAGTTTGTTTGTGTATAACGCCATGCCAGCTTCTGTGGCTATTTTCATGGCAAGAAACTTTATGGCTGAATATTCATGTTTTTTACAATTTATTTTTGCTAAAAATTCTAAAATTGTATTTGGCTTAACTCTGTTAAGAATCTCTTCAAACGAGTTAACTGAATAAAGACCAGCAAAATCTAATAAAACATGCTTCATGGATAAAGTGTTTTCGGCAGAGAGAACATGTTGGAGGATCTTCCCCTAGTATTAAAAACTTGTGTGTCATCCTGGAATGAGAACTATTCCTTTTAAATGCCGACACAAAAACCTACAGTTTATTTACAAACAATTTACACAAAATATACCAGATGTGCAGCTTTTGTAATCAGTGTGCACTCCAAACAAGTGAAGAATGGACTACATCACCTGGAATTTTTCTTTGCACCCTGCAATTTTATTTTTCCCAACATGCAACACCTAAAGAACAACAAACATGAAAAGGCATACAATTTTACTGATCATTAGAACTATTGCATTGAAGTGTTTCTGTTTTGTAATTACATTATCCGCAAAGTAAATTGGATAACCATAATGAAAACAAGAGTAGATTTTGAAACAATGACGAGGCTCAGTTACAGTTAAGCATAATCATTTTATACTAACATATTTTGAAAATTTACCTTTAAAAAATTCATGCAGAAGTCACTAGGAAAACCTGCACTTTTTCAAATGCAAATGTAAAACAAGCTTACTCTATTTTATCATTCAGCATGACACTTTTTGAAGTGAAAATCTCCATTTTTGGCAGAGCAAAACAAAACTCCACCAACTGGGAATATGAGGCAGATACAACCCCACCCCACACCACAAGTGCAAAACATTAAATTAATCAATGAAATGCCCCTGGAGGTTTGTACAGCCAACTTGGAGCTCAAGATCCACCCATTTGGAGCTTGCTACAACATCCATTAATACTATTCTACCCTGCGGACATTGTTGAAACTCTTTGGTTGGCTAAAGAACAAAGTGTAAATCATCTGTCCTTATTCTGAAGCGTTTGGCACTATAAACCACAAGACGCAGATCTTTCAGGGTTTAAAAGAGGGGTGTCAATCACATCAGCTAAACCATTGCTGTGCTTCAAGGTTCAGTTCTCACTTCTCTTTTCTCCATTCACATCACTGGGATTGATCACAAGGCTTTTGGCTTCCCTACCACTACTCTGCAGATAATATATGCAGCTCTATCTTTCATTTCAACCTGATGATCCCAATGTCTCAGCTCCTATCTCTGTCTCTGTAATTGAGCTGAAGATGACTCTGCTTCATGCATGCAAAGACAGAACTCCTTGTTATCCCTACAAACCAGTGTGTGGTCTGCATACCTGTATCTCCCCCCCATTTCCCAAAATGTATTTATATCGTCTGTCGAAGGCATAAGACCATAAAATGTTTGTCCAATCAAAACGTTCGATCCGAACATTACGATAGGCTCTCCTGCCTGCCTGTCAGAATATGCATTTGCATACCTCTGTGCACCGTTTGTGCAGACATGATACGCCATCAGCGCATTCCAGCAAGAAAAAGCTGATCTCATAAACCGATCTCAAGCTGACGACACACCTGCCATGGGAGGTTTGGTATGACATGCAGCATCACCAAATTATAGAGTAGTATCGATAACAGCATTGATAAGTACCGGTATCGATAAGCAGTATCAGTATCGATATTGTTCAAATGTAAACAATACCCATCCCTATTCACTGAGCATCTGCCTGAGTGCATTCATGTGTGTTTTGGAGGAGGCATGGCTTTGCAAAGTGACTATGCAGGGAAGGTGTTGATGTGCTTTCAAAGCTAGCTTGCTATCGCTAGTCTTATCACTTAACACTTATCGCTGTAAGTGTTTTTTGCCTTGGGAATATTCTGTAGTCTCAGCCCTTCATGGATATAATTTTTTTTTCTGGATTGCGTCAGATTATGTTTTTCAAAAAAATCTAATAAAAATGTTTTTCAACATTTCATTCATTCCTATGTCAGGTCAAATTGATCTTAATTGGATGTTTTTCACGACATCATTGAATCAATCGCTCACAGTAGTTTTTTTTTTCTCACATTGCCCACTTCTTTACTCCTGTCATACTCATTTGCATAATCCTAAAGCACACAGTTAGAATAGTATACTGTATGTAGAGTTTCACATTTGCATTATTCACTCGCTAAACCATCACCACAAAACCTGTTTTAACATTCTAAACATGAAGGGAGAAGATTTTAACTGTCATGCATTCATTTGTGTTAACAGCTGCATTTGTGTAAATGGTTGTATTACAAACAGCTGTCACAGAGAATACATATTTCTTTTAATACGTATGAACTGGATGTGTTGTAGTTTGTATCAACTTTTAGGTTTTCAAAGTTATGAATGAATTTGGATGGGTCTTTATGATTTATATTTGTTTCAGGCACTGCTGCCACATCAGGAAATCCTAAAGAATTTGTATGGCAGTCACAGGCCAAAACCTTAGAAATTAGTTTCAAGATGGGTAAAGGGCAGAAATTATAATGGCACCTTGTCCTTTCTCAGGCTTGGTACAAGGGGTCTTCAACTACCTTCAGGTAGTTATCCTAGAAGCCTTACTAGGGCTGGGCGATATAGCTAAAAATGTATCAACGATATAATGTTTCATATCGTTCGGTATCGATAATTATTGACATTTTTTTATAACCTTTTTTAAACCAAAGAGCAATAGAAAAAATGTTTAAATTTAACCACTGTATTTTTAAATTAACCCAATTTATTGAGACAAACAACAAATATTTTTTGTTTTAACAATCAAACACAAAATAAAAATTAAATATCTAATTTCTAATGTTTTATATGCGGATTAAATAGGTCTTAAGGAAACTTTTGTCTCGTCTCCCGAGGCCACAATGAGCAAAATAATGCAGCGCATTTAAATTGTCAATGCAAGGAAGCAATTGTATAAAAAAAACGTGCATTAAGTCTAAATTAACTCATAAAAATAAAATATAATTTCGTAAATTGCATAAACAATTATAAACAATGTATTTATGCATTGCTTAATCCAAAGAACCGCTATTCACACAGATTACATTTAAAAACATATGAGACGCAGTGAAAAGGAATAAACCTCCACACATTCGTGACGTTTTCTAAAAGTTTAAATTGTTTTAACTTTGCATGGCTTTCTGTACATCTCTTCTGAGAGACGTGTGTGCAGCAGTCATATTTGTCCGTCTAAAAAATGCGCTGAATATGCGTTCTGTGTGAATGGCTTGGTTTCGGTTTTAACCTAATCAAGATCATCTCCGCATTGAGCTTCTATATTTCTCTAATATTTTGAATGAATAACGCAGCAGCGGCGTGTCTCGTGGGCTAGACTAACAAAACATTAAAATGCAACAACGTCACTTACATCACTCACCGCATCTCGCGCACCACTGATGACGCTGCCTGATGCACAACTAACATTCAAATGCAAATGTTTATTTTAAATTTGACTAATATTCATTCTTTATTCACAATCTCCTCATCACAGGCAGGCACAGAACTCATTTCAGCATATGTTCGTGTTTGTGTGTGCTGTCTGCGTCACTCATAGCACGTGCCTATATCGTGCACTATATCGAACATTTTTTCTATCGTTAATGAAGGTGTACCATCGATAAATATCGATACTGTTTTATCGCCCAGGCGTAAGCCTTACCTTGTTTACGTTAGTCCACCAAGATACAATCAAAATGTAGCAAACTTCTCTCTGTGTTTGCAGTGATAGAGGGGGCCCATTTTTTCTCCTTTCTGTCACCTTTAGGTTGGTCACCTTTAGGTTTGGAGTTTAGATTCCTTGTCACTGTTGCCTGTGGTTTGATTGCTTGCGCAGTTGGAACTTAAAGGACAATTAATATTTCAACAAGATTATTGATCTGACAGTACTTTTTGGATAAAAACCAAAAACTGAACAGAACCAAGCTGTATAATGTAGAGCGTGTATGCAGATATACTGTATGAAACACTATATAAATACATGCGAAAAAAAGTGGTATCACAGTACTAGCTAGTAGCATACCATGAAGCATGATTAAAGTGACATCTCAAGGCATTTGCATCAGCTACTGAAGATCTGAAATCATGGCAATCCCAAGTCATAGTATAAATAAGTCAAATCAATGATCCGATCTAGTATTAGGACAACATTTGTAAACCATAAAAAAAGTTAAAAATGAACAAATTATTTCCTAAGTTTAATATGGCATTTCAAAACAAATTGATGTCTTTAGTACAGTTTACTCATTGTTTACTCTCTTACCTACTGGTGCAGGTTGTGCTGTCAATGATTGGCTGGAAGAACTTGGAGGAGCTGACTTTTTTGAACTGAGCTTGTTCACTTGGGTAGAGTAGGATTAGTGGAAGGGTAAAGTCAAATGTTATCCTCAAACCGTCCACCATTTCTTTACAGAGCTCCTCGCTGTAATGGGAAAACAAAGAAGGCCCTTTTAGCTTCAAGATCTGAGTAACTGTTCTAAAATTTCAGGTACTCTTGTCTCAAATGGCATCTCTTCAATTAAAAGGTGATCACTTACAAAATGTTATGGCTATTTTATGTTTTGTTTGTCACACACACACACACACACACACACACACACACAGATACACTTGATCACAAGTTAAATAAGACACGAAAAAGTAGATTATCTACAATGTAGGAAAGAACAGAATATAGAGACGCAAAATTCCAGTTACGGTGGCATTAAAAACTAGAGATATACCAAATGCTAAATTGCTGAAAAAGTTTATTTTGTATGCATCAAACATAGTGCATTTGAGCAAGATTTAGATCTGGGAGTCCAGCTTTGATATCTGACCACAGTTTATGACAAAAACAGTTACAGTAATTTCTGTCAGGAGTACAGGTCAAATGAGCCAAATCAGTCAGTAGTTGTATTAAGTAGTAGTTGATATTTTGAATAGAATAACAGGACATATTCAATCATTTTTGCTCCAGTTTATTTGTGGTCACAGAGCTTCACTAAATTATGTCCAATAGGGCTTCTAGTCCAAAAGGATAGTCCTAAGTCCAATCAGGATAAATACTGATATATTTCTATATGTTTGATTGAATTGATTCTTAGAAAAAATTCTCTTTAAAGATCCAAAATTGATTCAGTCAAGAGCAGTGAGTAATTTTCTCTGTCCTTTCTTGTTTAATTATTATTGTTTGACATAGACAGCAACAGGTTTATAAACCTTTAAAACCGGATGCATGGACCCAATATATACCCGGTTTTCACCCTACTGTTTACGTTAATTCAACACATAACTGACTGTGTTTATGTGAATACATGTTTATGTGAACACATGCTGTCTGACAGAGACGGCTTACTGTGCACACACTTCAGGTGTATTAGTAACTGTATTCAAGTCTATTTAATCATGTACAACCCAAATTCGAGGTCGCATGCTGTCTGAGACTCTCAGTGCGACACTTTCTGTATGTGAGCTTCAGCATTGTCAGTCAAGGTGAGCATCACATCTAGTTATTTTTCACAGCTTTTAATACCAGTTTAAAACAGCATGTTTCACTCTTTCTTCATTCAGGTTTTACTCTTACGTGTTAATAACTTGTGTGTACTGTACTGCGTTAATATATAAGAAATGGCAAAATCTCTCATTTTAGACACTACACTACATACCACCCACCCTTAATATACAGTGTGTGTGTATATATGTATATATATATATATTAGAGGTCGACCGATAGTGGATTTTGCCGATACCTATAGCTAGGTTGGACCACACTGACCGATACCGATTAATTAACCGATAGTTTTTAAAATGGATACTGAACAAAAACTAAAATAATGCTTTATTAAAAAAAACAGTACTGAACCATACTAGTAGTAGTAGTAATAATAATAATAAAAATGTTGAAATTAACACACTCTAACAAAGAACAATACTTTCATTACACAGCTTTCATTAATCTTAATGTTACAAATGGACTCTTATTTTAAAGTGTTACCATTTCATTTCAACAGTCATGCTTAAAGATGCACATCTTTAAAAAAATACACAAAGGCCATAGCATTAAAATTATATACACAGCCCTCTACGAACACCTTGGCAATTGAATCGCCATTGGCTAGTACATTTTTT